GTTCTGGTCAGCATCATTTTTGAAGAAGTACGGTCCAATGATTACACCAGACTATAAAGCACCAAACAGTTATTTTTTCTGACTGTAATGGTTTCTCAACATACGATTAACGATTATCTTTTCTTAAAATGGGGCAGTTTTGTTTGTTAGCGTAGCCATTCAACCAAAAGTGAGGTTCATTGCTAAACAAAATTCGCTTATGAAAATTGGAAACAACGGCAATCTCATTTTGGACCCACTCACCGAATCTACGCCTTGCTAGGTGATGATGTCTCTGCAATTCTTGCATGAGTTGGATTTTGAAAGCACGCAAAGCAAGTTATTTCTACAAAATCTTCCATAAAGTCAATGGACACGTATCCAACAGCAGTGCACGATGGCAGATAGACTGATTAGGGTCTTCCTTATGCTACGCTCTACAGCAGCAACAACTTCTTCTGTACGCACTGTACGAACTGTCTGTGTATGCATATTATCATTTAGAATAAACGTGGTGCAAAGACGTTAAATGATTAGTCGAATTTCTTGCTCTGATGGACTATTATAGTTGACCATAAAATGGACGTAGTACGCGATACGTATTTCGAACAGAATCTTAATTTTCAAAATAAATTTGTATAATTTTAAAGCATTTTTCAGGCGTCAAGTCTGTTTATGGTGATTTACCAAACCAAACTTAACAGAAATCACTTAACAGCGGTTAAAATGGCCAACAGTTAAAAAAGTGTTACCAACTTATATTTCTATACATCTAAAAAACACCCTATAGAATATATTATATGGTATTGTCAAATATATTTGTACGAAAAACATGGCGGCTGATGAAACGTCCTATTATTAGCTCAAATAAACTTAATATTTCAGGCTTCTTTTATTGTAAAATAAGAAGAATATATTCATTAGAACTTTTTATTTGTAAATACTAATCTATAAACGACAATAAAATTTCAAAAATAATCGTTTACAATTTTGCTCTAAGTAATGTAGTTTTATTTAGTTTCAATTTTTAAGGTAAAATTAATATTGACTATAAGTACGTTTGTTTGGTTGTATAGTAATTTCCAGCCACTTTCAGTTCATCTGCTACAATATGCGGTACTGTAGACTAGCGTGAAGCTTCATGCTTCTTTTCTATATTTTTAAAAGTTTTTTAAAAGTAAATATTTTTAAAATTGAATAAAATAATTTTAGTATTTTTTTATTTATTTATTATTATCATAAAACCGTATTATTATAACTCGTCAAAGTAAGACTAAATATTAAATTAATAATAAGATATAAGTAAATATTATTTGATAGTAAATTTAATTATTATATAAACTTAATAGATGTTTAAAATACAATTTGGGTATAGTTTGAAAGGAATTTATTAATGACTATAAAGGTAATACAACGTCAGTACCTATAGAAGTTTCACTTCAAAAATATTACTAAACTTACTAGACACTTGGACCTGGGATCAGAGAACTGAGTATATAATATTTTCTACCACGAAATATACTGGTCATCCACCTCCTCTATATTTTCTCCTTTGTAAGGATATAGTGGCTTCATGTAATTTGTTTGACTATTTCTATCCAATTGTCTCTCTCCTGTGCGTATTGTTTTGCTTCGGAGAATGAGTAATCATTCGCTCCATGCCTTCTCTTCTTCTATACTCTGTTTTTTAACCAGGAGGAGTAAACCAAAAAGACATATTCACACTCAAGAAAGTTACTAGAAAACTCACCAAATAAATCTTCTATTTTGTTGATTATCTCAGCCTTCCGGTAATCGAGTAATCAATATCGGACAACCTTACGCGTCAATGCTGATCTAAATTTATTTTTTTCTGTTTGAATAATAATTTTTTTCAATTCACTTCCAATATATATTATAATTATTACAATAAAAAAGGACATTTTTTACATTTGGTCCCATTATATATATATACTACATAATGATACTACATCAAAACTTACCAACACGTAATTTGGGGAAAGTTTGAAATTGTTGATAAAGGAGCTGAAACTAAATGAATCTTTTATATAGTAATCATTCTTTGTGTTGTATGCATTTGTTAATATTTCTGTTAAAAACTTAGATAACTTACTATTTGGAGAATCAATGGATGCAACAATTGGTCTCATTGCTAGGGTTGGTTTATGTATTTTTGGTAGAGAGTAGCATCTAGGTGCTAGAGAGTTGTAAATTCTTAAGTTTTTTGCTTTTAAATTCGTTATTTTTAATGTTTTGTTTAGATCTGTTACTAATTTATTTGCTTTTTGTTGAAGACTACAAGTGGGGTCTCTATTTAGCTGTTTGTAGTATTTTGTATATTTAAGCATGATTTCATTTTTGCTAATATAGTCCTGAAAATAAAAAAATAAAATTATAAAATTATAAAATTGGAACCAGAAATATAACACCCTTAAATAATAGAGAAAGCTCCAATGTAGTGTACTCTCTACCCTGTAATAATTGTAATAGAGTATATATTGGAGAAACGTCCAGAAATTTGTCCGGAAGATTAACATCTCACAAGAGTGATATTAATCTGAATAAAGTACAAGCCTGTGCATTAAGTGAACGTTGTATTACAATGGGCCATACGACTAACTATGATCAAACAGAAATATTGAGAAGTAAAAGAAATTACAACAAAAGACTGTTTCTAGAAATGTGTTTAATAGTTATATGTCCAAAATATCTCAGTATATTTTGGTTGATAGTTGTGATGAGTCTAGTTTTTATGTTAAGTTCTGCTAGAATTAAGTTATTTGTGCGATGGGCGGTCCATGGTATGCGCAACATAATACGGTAGACCCATATTTCAAATGACATTACACACTTTGAATCAGCTTTTTTATTGTGTCTTTTTGTAAGTTTCTGAAACGTAGGTGGCGATAGGTAATATCAATGCTTGAACAAGGCGTAATTTTGTGTTTTTTTTATGTAAGTACTCTTCCAGATCTTTATGAGTTTGGTTGTTGCCGATCTGGCCATTGTGATACGAAGACGAATACTGGTCACATTTTGGATTTTGGATTTTAAAAGTTAATTTCTAATTATTATAAAAATGTTTAAATAAAGTTAGATGTAAACTTTTGACCTCTTTATAGATTAAGTAAGTTTTTTAAACCAATATATATTATTGGGTTCTTCAAAGTCTTTGTGCGCCACGCAATTAATTAGCTTATTAATTAATTAATTAACTAAAATTATTTAAATGATATGATTATGATTCTATCACACTTTTTAATTCTCTTATCTCAGGGTTATATTCGTGCTTCAATATTTATGCTTTACATGTGAAAAGTAAGGTCCAAAGAATACCGGAAAATAAAATAAAATATATTGAAATAAAAATAATGAAATAAAATTCACACTCAAATGTTTCCAATAAACAATATCTCATATAATGATTCTCAAAATTTTGTTCTACGTACGTGAAACTTCAAAATTAATGGTACAAATAATATAAATTAAAATCTCAAAATCCCAATTATTATTCTAAATCTCCTAATCAAAATATTAATCAAAATATTTATATATATATATATATATATATATATATATATATATATATATATATATCTTTTCTAAAGTAACCGTAAAAATTGTGTTATCAATAAAAGAAAAATTGCAGAAAAACAAAATTATCTCTCTCTGATGATTAGTGGTCCAAATCCTTGTTCCCTGTAGCCTATACTATCTATTCTTAGCAGCTCCCTAGGTAATCAGCAATCTTACAACAAATTGTTGCAAGTTTATCGTCCTTAATGATCTGCTTCAAATGCACGAAATCGTTCAAATTATGAACGAAAAACTGAATCTTCTCCTCTCGATAAACTGAATCTCTCGTTGGCCTGAGTGAAAAATGACTCTTGGAATATCTTCTCTTTACGATAAACTGAATCTCTCGTTGGGCTGAACAGTGACTCTTGGAATATAAGTAGAAAAATATGACTTACAATATTTTGCTGGATCAGCTTCTGTCAGATACACTAACTCCACAAAAACTCACTAACATTCAACACTACTGCTTACTACCTCTCGGGAACCACCAGAGAACAATGACTGTTCGCCTTGCACACTTGGAAAAGAAATTCACTATCTTTTTTTCTTCAAAAACTAACTAAAGTCTTATTCTCAAACCAACCATCCCACCTTTTTCAATCTTATCCAATCAAAACGCGTCATACATCTCCCATTTCTTCATTTCGATAACACAAACAAATTTTTACCTACCATTATAAAATTTCCTAAAACTTATTTACAAACTAATCTTTTTCTACCGATTCTTATGAACTAACAAAAACATATCTTTCTAAAATCTATTCTATTGTCCTAATTACTGCACAAATTTATTTGGAAATCCCGCTTCCATTATCTAGGATTTCACTTCAGCTTGTTCACGTCACTCAAATATATTTCAACAAAGAAAATAATTTATGCATATTTTACGTTTTGTTCAATATAGGTAATCCAAAGATAAAAGACTTTCATTTTTCGAAATGTTTGTTGTTTATTATTCTACTTATCTGAATTATTTTAATTTTTTGAACTTTGAAATATTTTAAGCAAACCAATATTTTTCTCGATTTTACATATCATAACAAATCTTATATATATATATATATATATATATATATATATATATATATATATATATATATTTAAAAATAAAATAATTATTACCTATTAGGTAATTAATATGTTAATATTGTAACCAATACTAAGTTAAAACTATCGCTTCACAACAGCTTTTAATATAGTGTGGGATATTTTCGTTGACAGTATGATTTTACGATGGTATTATTTTTGTTGTACGAGATATTAATACAAAAATTTTAAAAACCTAATTTCTTGAATAATCTAGGTGTAATGAATAGTAACCTGCAGTGGCTTTGTACGCATAGACACGTCCGATTACCGTAAGACGGAAACCGTATGTGTTTTATGATTTACGCTAGTGAAACGTCAACATCAGTAACATGCGTAAACATTAAACATGGAATGACAAATCCTATTGACATATAATAAAAAGTGGGCAACTACGTGATAAAAAACAAGATTCCGCAGTTTAGTTACTAAAAAATCAATCTATATTTCCAGTAATTATTTACAAAATAAGTTTGTTCGTGTCCACAATAACAAAACAAATTATTGGAAGACCAACATAATAGGTTAGTTAAAGTTCATTAGTACTGTACCACCCACAATTAATGAATATTTTTTTTAGGTTTTTTGGTCTTATTAACAAGAAAAATGGGCACATTTACAGTTAAGGTCCTTTATGACTTTCAAGGAGAATCGAACACTGCGGAAATGAGTATTGTTGCAGGTAAAGAAATTTGCCAACCTGTGTCAGTTTTGACTCATATTATAACAATGAATATTTTTGGAAGTGTATGTTAATCCTGCAAAACCAGTTGCTATTAGTTATTTCTTAATTTTAATGAATACATCAAAAGATGATCAGTTAGTATTCAGTTTTAAACAGAACAAACTGTAGGTTTCTTTTATTGTCTTGAGAGGTATAATAAACTTTTAAAACTCCTGGATATGCACATGTGTACCTACCCTATTCTGAATATTTTCTTACTAATTTGATGTTCTGTTTCTGTTTTGTAACAAGTTGTAGTATCTTACATAATTTGCTAATTATTATTTAAGAATTGAGATTCCATCATTTTAAGACATAAAATCTTTGTATATTGATGAGAAAATGTTTCCTGCAAATCAGCAATTTCATTTTAATCATATTGTGAATGTTTTGTCATATCTTAATGTTTTTCTGTTATAATACTTCTATAAATGTTTTTGGGTGTAACATGTTCCAATCGTTTTGTGTTTGTGCAGGTAAGTAATAGTATAATCTTCATACAGAAAGTTCATCAAATATTCTATCTCTTCAATGGTTCTACATCTGAAGTCAGACTGTGGATACAGCATCCCTTTCTTTAGCTGCTATCCTCAAGTCTATCCCCCACTATCTCTTTAGCATTTTTTCTTACTTTGTCTATTTACCATCTCTTTAGCATCTTTTCTTACTTTGTCTATTCACCTTTGCCTTGTCTTTCTACTGGTTTAGGTCCCACCATAGTTCCACTAGTTATTCTATTGTTATCCATTATTATAAGATTACTTGTTCAGTGCAATGTTAATATTTTTGCACAACTTGCTATAGAGGGTTCTTTGTAATATGTATAATCTTCTATAATAATATCAAAAGTAATTAATTTGTAATAATCTAAGATTTTTGCCCACTGAAACTCTTACATGGTGTTCTTAATTTATATAAATTCACTGGGTAAGTAGTTTGAACATACACATTTTACATTTTCTGGAACATATGCATTCAGTACTTTGAATCATACATTGTTCTAGGTGAGACATTAACTGTAACAAGAACTGATGTTGGGGAAGGTTGGTGGGAAGGTCACAATTCGAGAAATCAGTCAGGTCTATTCCCTGAAGCTTATGTAGAGAAAACTTCATCATCTCATCCTCCAAACATTCCAGCTCCTGTATTGCCTCCACAAAATGACTGGGGGGATGCTCAACAAAATAAAGAAGATTGGGATGATGATGATGATTGGGATGATGATACTGTATATTCGGAAATTGGCAACAATCATGGTGAGTTAAATATATACCCCATTTTGTGTAAATTTATTAGATATGTCTGAAGGATATGTAATTCAAATCAGTCAAATTTGAATTCAGTACACATTTTTTTTTAAAATATGTTTACATGGTATATAGTTTGTTTAGGACATAAATACATGGCCTGTTGAATTTGGAGAAAAATTAGTTAAAAAAAAAAATTAGTTTTTTTGTAGTCAGTTTCGGCAGAAATTGGTTAGTCAGAAGATGCCACCACCAATTTTTGTAACCCAACTAGGTCAGTGTCTATTAAAATTGAGAATACTGATTAAGTAGATGCTGATAGTTGAAAATATTACTTTTATTTATTATAATGATGGTTAGAATATATATCATCATCATCATCCAGCCCCATTTTCACATCCATTGTTGGATATAGGCCTCCTCCAAACGTCTCCAGTTCTCTCTATCTTTAGCTGCTGCAGTCCAGTTTGTTTCTATTCTCCTTAGGTCGTCGGTCCATCGGGTGGGTGGTCTGCCTCGACTTCGCTTGTCGGCTCTTGGTCTCCACTCCAATAATCTCTTCATCCATCTTCCGTCTTCCATTCTAGTAACATGTCTAGCCCACCTCCACTTTTGTTTATTGATTCGCAGTATAATATCGTCTACGCCTGTTCGTCGGCGTATCTCCTCATTTCTCACGCGATCTTTCAAGGTCAGGCCCAGCATTGATCTCTCCATTCGCCTTTGTGTTACCCTCAGTTTTTCGGCAGTAGCTTTCGTTAAAGTTAGGGTCTCTGCTCCATAGGTCAAGACTGGTAAGATGCATTGGTTAAATGCCTTCCGTTTCAGGTGAATTGGGATATTTGTTTTAAAAATGTCTCTCATCCTTCCATATGCCGCCCATCCCAATGTGATTCGTCTATTTAGCTCGCAGGTTTGGTTGTCTCTGGTTATTCTAATTTCATAACCCAAGTATGTGTATTTATTGATTAATTCGACCTTGTTGTTATTAATCTGTATCACTTCACTGGGAACCATATTGGTCATCATTTTGGTTTTCTCGAAATTTATCTCCAGCCCAGTTTCTTGTAATATGTCATTCAGTTCAGTTAGAATATATATATATATATATATATATATATATATATATATATACATATATATAATATATATATATATATATATATATATATATATATATATATTTGAACAGACTGTTTTTCAATAAAGCACTTAATTTTTATGATTAAGAAATAAACATATGTATTAATCCTTTTATTGCATCACTGTAATGAAATTTGTTGACGAAACACATGCTTGTAACCAACAAATAACGGTATTAAACATTTAATATCTACAAAAAAACAAAGTATCATTAGTAAAGTTTGCTTATCACAAATGTTACTTTTAAATAACTTTCTCATAATATTCATCTGTTTCATATTATCATAAAATGTATATATAAATATTTAACGACCCTTTGAAACAATAGTCATTTAACAAAATGTTTAATTTTATTTAGAATGAAATTTTTAACTATTATTTTATTCTAAACATTTGCGATAACTATTTTTCTTTGTCTTCCATATAAGTAATTATAATAAAAGCTGCCCGTTTGTTTATTATAAGTTAAGTGCCCAATTTTTTACTTATTTTTAGGGGATACCTTTATTTCTGGGAAAATTTTTTGCTCTTATAGATCTATTTTGTATTCCTTTTTACTACATATTGACCTTATGGTATATCGTTTTCCAGTTAAGGGTTTAATTCTCCATCTGAAGCATCTTTCTTATTCTCCTTAATTATCATCTCTAGTCCTACATTTCTAAAGTTAGAGTCCCGCCCTTCTTGTCTTATTTTCACACCATCATTTCATCTCAGTTTCCCGGCCTCTGGCAGAAATATTAGTCTGAGAGGGTCGTGATAGTGCTACATGCCCAGCCCATTTCAGTCTTCTTACCTATATGAGAGATACCCTTTTTACATGTTCCACCAGATATTCTTTCCGTTATCCTTCGTTTAATGATGAGTCAAACGTTTTCATTTGTCTCTTGCGAATGGATACCATATGTTTTTGGAAGTCACTCGAATGTCTCCAAAATGAGTTTGCCGCCTGCGGTCTAATGCCTCGCAGTCATACTAGATAGGGTTGACTGTGTCAGGTCCTCCAATACGGAGTCTCTAGCTAAGGTCTCCATTGAACAGCTTGTATTCAGGTATCCATTGACAAGTGCATATCTAGTAAGTAAGCATGTCCGTCCAATATAAATTTTGTCATCCATTTGACCGTTATTATTCCTGTGAGAGTTATGTTGTCTGCAGATCCACGATCTGGACTGAAGTATTATATAGCTGATGCTCTTCTGGCAAGTTCATCGGCTGTTTCATTGCCGTGTATTTCCCAGTGACCTAGAACCCATACCAATCCGACACTGTTATGTTGCTGTTATATCGCGGCACAATCTGTCGAGTTCCTCTCGGCATTCCCACACTGGCCTGGAGGCAACCTTACATAGTGTAAGAGCCTGGATGGGTGCTTTATCTGTCTGGGCATTGGTTCGAAAGCCCCCATGTTAATTTCCCTTGTGCAGTACGGGATTGCAAAAAGATCTGTCTAAAATACAGAAGTATATTCTTCTAGTGGAAAAGAAATGTTTAAATTTCCTCGAATAATTAATATTCCTGCATCCGACCTTTCTACAGTTTTAGACCTGTCTGAGTACCAGGTCTCACCTGCACTCGAGTCGAGTGTTTTCTCTACCACATCCTATTCGTGAGCATATGTTCACTTGGAAAAGTACTATTGTATCTGGGTATCTTGTAGTGTCAGAAACTGTCATGATCCCTTTGGTATACCTGATTTCATTTATGATGTTGTTTTGTCCTGATTTAACCATTATGTGGCTGATATTATCCCGCGCTCTATAATATCCCATTCTTGCTCCTCGTTATAATGATGCGCAACGAAGGTTGGCAAACATAATGGCTATTTTTATTTTTGATCTTGCTGCTGTAAACAAACCAATCAATCTGAATTGGTGCCAATTACGTAGATTCCTAGAACAAGAATTCTGTTTTGGCCAATATATCTTCCTTGAATATTTCCCTGCATTATGAGTCTCAAAATTTCATATTTTGGTCCCCTCATCACGTGGCCTAGGTTTTCCAAATGTCCAAGTCCAAGTCTGATTTCCAAATTATGATTTCTGTACCTTAGGAGTGGCTTCATTTGTATAAATGCTGATCAGGCAATCTCCATTCGCCTGTTTATTTCTGCAGTATGATAATTGATTTTATTGATCAAAGTTCCCAAGTACTGATATTTTTCTACCTGTCCTATCAGGTTATCAGTAATTTTCAATATGTGGTGGATATTTTGTGGCTTTTTTGTAATGATTTATTTAGTTTTTTTTTGCGTTTATAGTAATTCCTATCTCAGCACTATTCATACTTAAGCTTTTGATTAGATGTTGTAGATCTTCTACACTCATTACAATGATCACATAGTCATCAGCATATCGTAAGTTGGTAACTAATTTTTCGTTAACGGTAACTCCCGTTTTAATATTATTGAGCGTGTTTTTTTAAGTTTCAGAATATAAGTTGTATAAGTCAAGTGACGATAAAATACCTTCCTGTCTAATTCCTCTACAGATCTTCATTACTTCTGACCGTTGTTGGCCAACAATTTGAACTATGGCACTTTGGTTTCAATGTAGTGTTTGGATTATATTTATTCTTCTTCTTCTTCTTAGGGTGCCTGTCCGTTCCGAACCTTGGCGATCATTCTGGCTATAATGATTTTATTCGTTGCTATACGAAATAGCTGTGTTGACGTCTTTCTATACCATGCTCTCAGGTTAGCAAGCCAGGATATTCTTCTTCGTCCTGGGGCTCTTTTTCCTTCAATTTTACCCTGCAAAATGCATTGGAGTAGCTCGTATCTGCCTTGATTTCTCATTATATGTCCCAAGTACTCCAGCTTACGTTATATTTATTGTTTTACTGTAAATGTGATTATTAATAAGTTTTTATGTTAGTTTTTCATGTCTTACTAGCTCTCTATCAAAAGCTTTTTCCTAGTCAACAACGCACATGTGTAGGTCAACGTTTACATCCCCACATAGCTGAATCAGTATGTTGATGACAAATAGTCATTCTCGAGTAATTACACATATTAATTTAAGCAGTAATTTTAAAGTATGACTCATGAGGTTTAGTGTTCGATAGTCAAGGGACTCTTTTTGCTGCTTTTTTAAGGTTAGGTATAAACGCTGAATTCAGTCACTTTTGCGGTATTATTCCCGTATCGTACACCGAGTTGAACAAATCTGCCAATAAATCTAAGTTATTCTCTTTCAATAGTTTTAACAGTTCTGTTGGTATTTCGTCCAATCCATATTTAATTTCATCCGTCGTGATCATATGTCTCTCTAAAGGATTTAATTCTTATATCTCCTGCATTTCACGTCTTTTATCTTGGAAAAGTTCTCTCACGTGCTCCTCCCATCTTCTTTCTTTAATTTGAGTGCAATCTGACTACCATTAACGTAGTTATCGCTCCAAATCAGCCTCAAGTATAATATAACCCTAAGATACTTTATTCCTCTCACCGAATTTAGATTTGTGCCACTCGGGTTTAGAGGAACTAATCCTTTTTAATTTCCTCCGTCTGGTAAAGTACACGATTTTAGACTTCTGGGGTCTTATGTTAAGCCCTAAATTTCAAGTATATTCTATACCTAGGGTCAGAGCATGTTAAATTATATCTCTGAATTAGCCAGTAAAGTAGTCATTGGCTTAGATGACCAGTTCATCCGAATAGCCCAGAATGTCTGTCTTTGCTGCATCTAGCTATTAGCCCACCCATGACCAGATTTCATATAAGAAGAGATAAGAATTTTTGTTTTACACTCAGGAAAGAGCACACTGAAAAGTTCTCTTCATATTCTGAGTGTATTCGCTTGACTCCTTTGGAGTGAGGGAATACTTATCTGAGGGTCCTTTGAGAGATTTTTAAGGAATCTTGATATTTCTGCAGTCTTTTCTATCTCCTGGCAAAGCCTTCTCCATGACTCTCTTTTTGAGCTTCTCAGTTCCTGATTATAATTCAGTCAGAGCTTTACGATAATCGCCCCACTTACCTGTTCTATTTGAGAAATTAAATTTTCGTCTGACTTCTGTTCTTTGATTTTGAAGGTTTTTATTCCGCCAGGGTCCTTTCCTGTTTAAATTCCTCACTATCTCAGGCAATTTTTTTTCGAATACCGGTATGAGAACTTTTTGACATTATTCAGCAGCCAAATCTAGGTCTATCGTATGGTCCCTTTAACCCTGCCTTAACAATATTTCAGGTGTGCTTGATGCTTCTTATCCTGTTTTATGTGGATTCCTGTTTCCTTGATAAGCTCATTAAATATTTCCAAACATATGTTTGAATGGTCTGAGTAAGACACCTTATTTCAATTCTTAACAATTTTGGTCACATGAGACATGGCCACTGCTGTATCAATTATCTTCTTTCATTAGGACGTTAGGAAAGCAAAGTGAACTAATGTCGGTCCAAATTCCTTTTATAATAGAAAATAGACATCATTATGTGTCTTATATACTAGAATTACGTAACCGCTATCTTCTAGAAACAAAGTTCGTTAATTCGTTTTATAGAATCGATGAGCATACATGCACAGAATACATACACAGCATTCAATACTTCTTTATCAAGTAAGAAGTCACTGACTTATTCTATTCAATTATTCTATCACTCGTTCCTTTTCCAAATTCCTTTGTCTGTCAGTAATTCTACCAATTCCATTATTAGTATTTTTCCCTATATACCACAATATATATCATTCATTTAAATCTTTGGTGTTTTGTCCTTTCCACTTGATGGCCATCAACGAAAACAGTTTATTTATTATTGTTTTCTATTCTTTGTTCTAAACGAAATATGCAAACCATTTTGTCAGTCGTTATGACATTGAAATTTTGAAGGGCGATAATTTATAAGTAAAAGTGTACATTCATCCCCCAAAAACGCCTATGAAAATCATAATTTATCACATTCGATCGGATATGTTTTCATAAATTACCACATGTAAAAGAAAGTTTTTAACATGCTAAATACATAATATGCAGCTATATATTGCAGAATATATACTGAGTGACATAAATAATTTCTTGAACTTAGTTTTGTTGGCAACATGGTAGATTTACATCAAGAATGAATCGATAACGTTGGCAAGAATTTTTTTAACATGAATACACTCCTGTGCACGTCTAGGCATTGACAAAATGAAATGATCGATGTCTGCTTGTGGCACATCGTTCCAATCAGCTTGAACTTCATGTCTGTTGTCACGTTGTCTTGCTGAAAAAGGACCTGTCGCCAAGTTGTCATACTGCCTCGAATGAACACAAGTGGTGATTGGCTAACGTAGGTAATAGCCCTCCAAACCATTACTCCAACTGTCCCGTGTACATACCTCTCAACAGCAAACCCGATATCTTGTCGCTCTCCACGGCGGCGTCTTATCATCCTATGACTACCATGCATTCCTAAACATAATCGTGATTCATCGCTGAATGCTACGTTATGCAATTCTGCCACCCAATGTTTCATTCTCTGCACCAATTCAAACGTTGATGGCAGTAGTTTGCAGTCAAAAGAAACACTAGTCGTGGGCAGAATAAAACCAGTTCAAAGACTCGAATGTGACGGTATAATTTACGCATAGTAACATGTCTACCTAGTCTAAAGCGCTTATCTGGACGCTCTGTCTTACGCCTCGGTTGACCAGTTGTCTTCTTCGTATTCCTCTACCTTCATTTGTCCACACACGCATGAACGTCATTGCCGTACAATTAACACGACGGCCAATTTCGCGATACGACAAACCCATATCTCTATAGGCAACAATTCTACCTCTGTCAAAGTCGCTAAAATGGTAGTAATTTTGGTGTCTTTGAACTCTTACACTAAATATAATTACCCTTAGGAATATTCTCTTCTAAGGTGGTTGTTAATCATCACAGCTCTTTTCACTTTTGAGATTGCAGCTCTGAACAAGTCGATGGAACTGCAATTATACCACTTTCTCAGATTGTGGAGCCAGGAGATGCGTCTTCTTCCAATACTTCGTTTTTACTGTATTTTTTCCCGGCGTTATGGTTTGTAGTAACACTTATTTATCCCCTCTCATAACGTGGCCGAGATATTATAACTTTCTTATTTTAATCGTGTTCATGATTTCCTTTGTCATCTTTCTGAGGACCTCAACATTTGTTATTCGGTCTACCCAACTTATTTCTAATATTCGTCGGTAGGTACACATCTCGAATGCTTCAAGTCGATCGCTCACCTCTTTCTTTCAGGTCCAGGCCTCCACTCCATACAGCAGCACTGAAAACACATATGAACTTAATATTCTTATTTTGAGTTGCAAACTAAGGCCTCTACTGCATAATACTTTCCTCATCTTATTAAATGTTGCTCTAGCTTGTCCAATATATACTCGTTATTTTCATTAATAATTTTACCAAGATATCTGTATTTTTTTACTTTCTCTATTGGAACCCCTGCAGAACCCCAAACCATGTTTAAAATGTCTTGTTGTTGTGTTTTGGAAATTGTCATAAATTTTGTTTTATTAGCATTGAGCGTTAGTCCGCTTTCCTCACTAGCATTTACTACATTATCTAAGAGTGTCTGTAGATCTTGTATATTCTCTGCAATTAGTATAGTATCATCGGCATATCTGATATTGTTGATGGGTCTGCCTTTAATTTTTATTCCAATTGTTATATTTTTCGAGTGATTTTTTAATTATTTCCTCCGAATATAGATTCAAGGGGGAAAGTATGCAACCTTGCCTTACGCCTCTTTTTATCTCTACTTCCTCCGAAAGTTCTTTGTCTACTCTGACTTTCGCTGTTTGGTGAAAGTAGAGGTGAGTTATTATTCTTAAGTCTTTTTTGTCAATGTGTTTATCTTTAAGTAACTGTATAAGACGGTTGTGTCGTCATAGAGTGGTTGGTTTACATCCATACATATTTACATGAGGACGTTAAATCGAAATAATTCCTCTCCTGTACCCATGGCATTCCTAAATCCAAATTGAGTTTCAGAAACTTTTCTGAAAATTCTTAAATGGATAATTTTTAAGAATATTTTTAGTGTGTGACTCATTAGATACGGTGGTCATTAAATTCCCTTGCATTAGGTTTTTTTGGTAATGTAATAAATGTTAATTTGAGAGAATCTCTCGGAATAATACCCGTATTATATATAGTATTATATAAGTCTTCTAATACATTGATCTGACCTTCTGATATTAATTTAATTATTTCAGTTGGAATAGTGTGAGGCCCCGCAGTTTTATTAGATTTTGCCAGATTTATTGCATGTATTATTTCAACCTTAGTTATATTTGGACCTATATCGTGTTCCTCGCAATCGTTCATGCTATCTTGTGTCCTGTCGTCCTAAAACAATTCTTGGACGTATTCTTTCCATATGTTTAGTTTGCCTTTGATATTAGATATTATTTTACCATTCGTATCAACCAGGGAGTTACTATTGTTGGACCGTCTTATACCTGCTAATTCTTTAATTTTTTTGTGCAATTCAAAAACTATCATGATTTCTCTGCAGTTCTTCTATCTCTAAATATTTGTCGTTGTACCACTTTTCTTTAGCTGCCCGTATTTTTATCCTGATCTCCTTGTGTGTGGCTTTGTATTCGTTTGTAATAACTAAAATTTTCTCTACCAACGGGTCTTCATAAATCGGTTTTAAATATCATTAAAAATAAAACTTTATTTTTACAAAAAGTATAAATTTATTGGCACCTATGATATTGTTATCATAGCATGCTTTAAATAATTATAGTCATTCTGTTGATAAAAAATTAAGTTCGTGAAATTATTTCTTCTGGGTGCAACACGTCTAATGCCACTAACCATTTTTGTGGACACCCTGTATAATTAATTATTTTAAATAATTTCCTAGAAAACTTTGTTCGTCCTGTATAAGGTGTAGCATTATATTTCTTTGCTTTCTTTAAGCGCTTGTCAATTTTAATTCGAAGTTATTATTGTACCAGGTCAAAGTCAAAGCATTTACAGCAATGAACAGAACCAGAACCAAATATCACATCAATTTGATAATATGTCATTAGGAAATATTAGCACTGCGGGAGACAATAAAGGTACCATTACCAAGAAGAGTTTAAACATATTTTCCTCATATGTCAAAAGTGGATTAGAAGGATATATTTTAGGTAAGTGGATATTTTTATAAAAAATAGGCTAAATATATAGTTTAGAATAATCTGACAATCCAGATTCTTCAGTTTTATACACACTGAAGCGTTTAAGACATAGGTCGGGGTTACTACTCCTATCGTCACCTTGCGTTTTTTTTTAATACTTTATTGTCACAAATATCTTTATTTTCCCGTTTTTTAAATGAAAATTGATAAATAATTTACGGAGGTACTTGCAAAAAAAAAACAGTTTTTTGAACTAATTTATTACTTTTATTAATTAAAAAAATATATTAATAATACATTTGAACATCGAGGAATTACTCAATTAGGTCTTTTAAATTTGTGAGAAATTTCCCCCCGATCGGTCAAATAGTTTAATAGTTATTTAATTTATTTATCCCTGATGCTAAATATTTAAACTAGCGAACTTGGTCTATTAATGATGCTAGTTACATTTAGTAAATTTCATAGGATTTTTAAAGACTTAAACTATCTCAGAAGTTAAATGCATATTGCGTTTTCATGGAAATTATTTACAAAATAAACGTTTAAAAAGGGTTATGTTTTTTCTTCTTCTTCTTCAGATGCAAATCCACTAATGGATGTTAGCGATCACGTTTTCCATTAATTCTCTATTTCTTGCAATATGTATCAGAGATTGTATGTCGTTAATCCCTGTCCATTGCCTTATGTTTCGGAGCTAGGACATTTTTTTGCGTCCCAGTCCTCTCTTGCCTTCAATTTTACCCTCGATTATAAGTTGGAGGAACTGGCATTTTTCATTTCGCATGATGTGACCTAGATACGCCGTTTTCCTTTTCTTGATGGTTTCGAAAAAGTTGGCGTTCTTGGTTTATTCTTTTAAGGACATCTATATTTGTGATTTTCGCTGTCCATGGTATTTTTAGGATACGGCGATAAAGCCACATTTCGAAAGCTTATAATCTGTTTATATCCCCCGTTTTGAGTGTCCAGCCCTCTACGCCATATAGCAGCACTGACCACACGTAGCACTTAGTAAACCTTAGTCTCTGTTGAAGATCGAACTCTGAACAAGTCAGTACCTTCTTGAATTTTACGAAAGCTTGTCGAGCTTGCTCAATTCGACATTTTAAGCCGACATTTAAGTCCTAAAAGAAACGGATGGTAAAAAAAGAAAAATCAAAGAAGCGGCTCTAATTATGCTAAATGAGGCCAATTGTGTAGCAAATTCCTCGGCAGAATGTAGTAGGATCTGGTTACGAATATTTAAAGAGGAAGTTATTAATAAGAAAATACCAGTATTAGTAAGTCAGTAACATATAGAGAATACAGCATTTATGTTTTTTAAATAACGAAACATATAAAATCAGAATTTTGGTGTTTATTGAAGGTAAACTAAATGCACGAACAAATACTTACCATGTCGGGATAGTATTATGAGGTTTTTTTTCCTGGTTTTTCCCTCATAATTTGCTATAGAATCACTAACAGGAGAATTTTACTGTCATCATGTCATGTGTTTGTCTTTTTAAAGACGAATTATATGCTATGATTTTTTCTGAATCTGAATCGAATGAACTATCTTATAAGTAAAGTCGTCCAGGAGCACAACTCAACAATATTGGCAATATCATTTTAAAGTCGTCTACTTTAAAATGCATAATGTATGTCAATATAAATGAGTCAGATAAAATTAAATTAGAAGAATTTTTCACTATGTAACAAAAAACAAAATTTGTTTAATTTACTCTTTGTATTTTGAGAACGATTTCCGAAGTGGAAATTGAAACGTCAATAAACGTATTTTTTTATCTTTAATTGTGGCTTATTCCTAGTTAAATAGTAATTATCTTATGTCTTTTTGGTCTATATCAACTTTCTTGAGGATCTGCATTAACTTGTGGTGTTGCACACGATCAAACGATTTTTGGTAATCTAAAAAGCATAGGAGCATATCCTCCTTCTGATCGTAACAATTTTGGACCAGCACCTGTGTTGCTACTATTGCTTCTCGTGTTTCTAAACCTTGCCTAAACCCGAAGTGGGAGTTACTGATGTCCCATTCACATTTTTTGTATAATCTGAGTCTGTGATCCTCACATCTTTTTGCATTGACTTTCTTGGGCAGGGGAATAAAGGTAGAGCGTAACCACTGTTGAGGATAGCAGCCAGTTTTATAAATTAAGTTAAATATTTTGTGTAATGCTGAAATTCCCCTTTCATCCAGTAATTTGAGTATTTCTGACGGGATTTCATCTGGTCCACGTGCCTTATTGTTTTTTGAATTTAATATTGCCTTTTCTATCTCCTCTTTGGTGATTGAAGGGCCAGTCAGCTGGTCGTCTGTATAAACTTCACTCATGGGTCTTTCGTCATGGAAGAGCTCCTGGATATAATTTTCCCATATATGAGTTTTCTCCTTTTCACCCAGCACTATCTGGTTATCCTGATTAACTATGGTAGTTGGTATTCGTTTTCTGTATATTCCAGCAGTCTCCTTAAGCTTTTTATGTAAATTACGGTCGTCGTGCTGTCTTTGTAAATTTTCTAGATCGATACATTGTTGCTTAAGCCATTGATTTTTTGCTATTCTTATTTTTGCTTTTATTTGCCTTTTAATGTTTTCAAACATATTGCTGCCGTCTTGGTTATTCTTGTGTCTTCGTCGTTCTTCCATTAGTAATAGTATTTCTTCTGTCATCCATTTTTTCTTCTCGTTATTTCGTTTGTACCCTAAGTTGTTTTTCATGATGTCTGTTACAGCACTTGTAATCGTATTTCATGTTGGTGTTAGATCTTCGGCAATATTTGTCGTCAATATTTGAATTTGTGCGTTTATTTCATTGCTTATTTCTGCTTGTATCATTGGGTCTTTCAGTTTGTCCAGTGCTATCTGTTGTTGAGTGTCAGGCTTGTTCTTGCATGAAAGAGCGATCTTTATGACGGCTACTAATAGTACGTGGTCAGAAGGGACATCTGCTCCTGGGTATGTGCAAGCTCTTTTGACAGTTGTGCTGAATCTACCGTTGATAAGAATGAAGTCTATTTGATTTCTTATTATGTTCTGAGCTCTATCGGCTGTAGATTTCCAAGTATAAAGGCGACGGGGGTGTTTCGTTCCTTATTCCAAGACCATAGGGTCCAACTACGTCTTCAAAGCTGCCCTTCCCTATTTTGGAATTAAAATCTGCCATAATTATGTTGGCATCATGTTTCTTTGTCAATTTAAGTAGTTCTTTGATTTCACTATAAAAGTTTTCCACTACTTCATCTGATGCGTCTGTAGTTGGTGCATAAACCTGTATGATGTTGAGATTATTTGGCTTCGCTTCAAGTTTTACTAAGGCTGTGCTGTGCGGTCGGAATATGGTACAAACTCTGTGACAGCTCTCACCAATCTTTTAGTTATCATAATCCCGACGCCTTTTTTATGATCGCGGTCATCATTGCCTGAGTAAAAGAATGTTCCGCTTTCTGTAGTGCATTTACCGGATCCAGGCCACCAGGTTTCTTAGATCCCAAGGATATCCAGATCAAATCTGCTCATTTCTTGAGTTAGGTTAGCCAGCTTCCCGGCTTCAAATAAGCTGCGTATATTCCAGGTGCCTATCTTTAATACCTTGCTCGTACGTTTGAAACATTCAAGACCGCTCCCCCCGGAGATCCGATTGGGGAACTATTTATACCTCCGGATAATTTTGAGTTGAATGTCATGCCGCTTCAGGGCTTAGTTTTCAGCCGCCCACTATGGAACAGACGCCGTTTGCAACCGTTCATTCTGGGTACATACGTTGCTATTCTCACCATATCTGGCTACCCTCACTTAGTTTAACCTGCAGACCAATGCAGTTGCCCAGGGTGTGGCACGTGGAGCCATACGTGAGAGTTGGGTGTCTTATGAGGACCAGTTATCAAGAACCATCTCCCGTCTATGACGCTCGATGTGGTCGTTCCGATGAAAGGTACTACCTCTATAACACAACCCTACACCCCTTATGTTTTTTACTTATAAACAATTGTAATAACTTCTAATATTTTTTGATATTTATTATTATTTATTTATTATTATTTATTTATTATTTAATAAATATCTCCAAAGATAACAGAGTATATCGTCCTCGTGTCCCTACATTTTATTTGTATTCATATGAATAGGAGGTCATCTATATAGTGGAAAACCGGTAATATATCTTAGTATGCGTAAAAAAGTCAGGATGAGTAGCAACTGCCACGCTCCAAAATTTCGTCAAAATAGTCCTTAAGTTCCCGTTCCCATTGGTCATGAAGGTTTTTTTTATTGTGAAATAATTTCGATGAAAACGCAATATGTATTAACTTCTGCGATAGTTTAAGTCTTTAAGAAACTTAAGATTAAATAACTTTTAAACTATTTGACCGATCGGGGGGAAATTTCGTACAAATTTAAAACACGGTAATTCTTCGATGTTCAAATGTATTAACATTTTATTTTGTTAATAAACAAATTTATAAATTAGTGCAAAAAACTGCTTTTTTGCAAATGTCTCCGTAAATTATTTATAAATTCTAATTTAAAAACGGGAGAATAAAGATATTCTGCATATAAACAAAAAATGATATAAATATTGTTTATCTAAAATATAAGGGACAAAAAATCAAATTGTGACCATTAATTATTGTTTAAAAAAAACGCAAGGTAAAAATACGAGTACTTTTTCATTTATTTGTCATCTAGTAACCCCCACCTATATCTTAAAAGCTTCAGATATCTGCGAAAAATTATGCCCAGACTGGGCTATTATGTATTAGTTATTAAAATCATGATGTTCCAAGACATCAGTGTAGATTGTGAACATCTTGAAACAAGCTTATACTACGTAATACCGTATTCAATCAACGGTAATACTGATGATGCTTATATGTTTATCTTATACAATGATTTAACTTAGCTGTGATATTCAACTATTTTTCATAAAATTTGTCAAAAGTAATGTGGTTTTTACTAATTTTAAGCATAGCTTAAGCTTGTTAAGCATAATTTTTTCGCGATT